GGCTGTTAATAGACCATCCTACCAAATGGACCGATTTGGCAAAAGCTTTCCTTTGTAAAGCACTCCCTTCCCCAATTTCTTCCTCTCCATTTTCTTTCCAGGTCTTGCTTCCATCTCTCTTTTGAAAGCTAGACATTTCTTTGCTTTCATACAGATGATCAAGAAAATTAGAAAATGCTGTTCTGTGTTGTGTTGCTTGACATCCCAAGAAACTAGAGGAAGAACTGTGTGGATGCATTTCTAGGGCATCTGGCAGCAGGCCATCCATTATAGCCAGGTACAAGTGCTATTCTTTCTTGAGAACTTCAATTCTAACGTGAGCTGAAGGGGGTTCTACAGGTCTTGTAATTATGGTGCCTCTCTCTTTGTAGACATGGATTTTTCTCTCCACCTGAGTGGCCTCAGCTTCCGAAATGGCAGCCATGCCTGCTCTCAAAATGGACCATGCCAAGTAGATGATGCTTTGCCCAGAAAGAAGTAGGAGAAGAGAACATTGGTATTTCTGCAAGTATAGACAGCCTGACAGCCAATTTTGGAGTCTGGGTGACATTTCAAATTGGTAATGCTCCTAATTACTCAAGCCCTAGGAAACCATATGGAATGCAGCCACCACTCTAGAATTAATACAAGTGAGCACACTGAACCCATTACTGACAGCATGTTCTCCTAGAGTCATGGCACTGTGTCTGTGTCAGCACAGCATGATATTGTGGTTAGTATGAGTGTGGTGCACGCGTGCGCGTGCGCATGCACGCACGCGCAAACACACACACACACACACACACACACACACACACACACACACAAAGTTAAATGTCTGATTCAAAGCTAAATCCCAAGGAGACTAAGAATGAAAGTCACTAAAGGAGCAGAAGTTAAAGTAATTTGAAATTTCAGTGAGCAAACCATGAAGCTTAAGCTTCAGTATTTCTGGGGAGAGGAACTGAGCATCCCTGGCCCACTCTTTTCCTCTTAATACACAGGCCCAGTTGTAGACCCCTTGGCCAAGAAAAGGATGCTTTTTCTTACATGAACTCCAGGTCTAAATGCAGAGACTAGAGGAAAATTTGTAGCAGTTCTCTAACTTACAGCTTGCCCTCCTTCCACAGGAACTTACCCAACCTTGTGGAGTGAGCCTGGTTCAGAAACACATGCCCTGCTTTTGGGATTCTCTAAGTTTTTCCCATCACGCACTGCTTGAAATCTGTAATTCCTCACAGTGTTGGAGAGGATTTGCATTTGCTCATGCTGTTGATGTGGGAAGACAAACTCCTCCTCTTCCTGGCCCTAAGCATTCCTGAAAGCAACCCTTGTTGCAAAGAGTTTGACATCAGAGCAGTGACAATTTGAGGATTGCAGGAGAAGTACCAGTGTTTTATCCGTTGTTACTCTATGTAGCCCACACCTAGAGTGTGGCTGTTACTGATGTCATTTAATTTCAATCTCATTAAAAACAAATCTATGAGATTCCTAACTCCACCAAAGTAGAATCATAACCAAGAATCAGTACCAGTCAGTACCTTAATAAGTCTGACCTCTGTGATTAAAGCTGGCCTTGAGCCAAGAGCCAAGCATCTGTTTGTATTTTACCCCTTGTATGTTTTTCCCCCTTCTAGGTCATTCTAGATGTTGGCAATGGATTGGGAATGCTGTTACTTATTTGTTTGTTTGTTTATTTATTTTCCATGAAGGCTGGAGTTGGGAAGGTTTGTAAAAGGAGGCTTTCCTCTGTCCCTCCCTGTTCCTCAGTCACTTCCCAAATTATTGGCTCAGAGGCTTAATATTACTTATAAATGCTTGGCCGATGGCACAGACTTATTACTAGCTAGATCTTACACTTAAATTAATCCATATTTCTTATCTATGCTTTGCCATGTGGTTCATGGCTTGTTACCTCATTTTCTATATGTCTTGCTTCCTTGGCAGCTGGCTGGCATGTCTGTCCCAACTCTACCCTTCTTCATCTCCGTCCCTGAATGATTGTACCACCTAACCTTATCTTGCCTTGCCATTGGCCAGACAGCTATATTATCAACCAATGAGAGAAACGCATATTCACAGCATACAGAAGGACCATCCCACTACAAAGGTTGAAGCAGTGGAAGCTAGCTCAGTAGCACAGTATGCTGAGGTCTGTGGTTGTGTTTAAAGGCAGATATTAACTGGCCTCTGTATACTTTAGGGTGTGACCTTCTGCTAGGTTATTTAAAATCTATATATTTTTAGGTTATACCTTTCCTCTTTTTTTCCCATTGGAATGTTGCTGCACTAGAGCCCAACCTCCTTGTAGTGGTTGATAGAAAACAACTATTCTTTAAATTTTAAAACTTAATTTAATTTGATTTAAAAATCAAAATAGAGCACGGCTTCTCCCTTCCCATCTGCCACAGTGTGGGGACAGGGGATGAGTATGTGCTATCTTTAATGACCCCCAGGTGAAGAATCAGCTCTCACTGGACCTAGAGTCCTTCTATCCCCTGAAATACTATCCTGACTACAGCTATATCATTCGCTCTTTATCTCATTGTTGCATTTTCAATGGGCGATGGCGACAGGAGTGTAGTTGCAGGACGAGAAGGCATCTAAGCCTGGAGGAACATAATCTGATTTGAGGCTCTGGCTAGAGAACAGAGTGACACTTTGTTTTAAATAGCTCGCTATCGTTAGGGAATGTGTACAAATATCAGGGGAAAAAATCAGAGTGGGGAGTCAGGCCATAAAGGCTTTCGGTAACATTTGAGCATAATGAGGACCCAGTCGCAGCTTCAGAGATGTGTGCAAAAATATATGATTAGGGGGTAGGTCTGTCATTCACTCATGAAGGAGGACTATGTTTTAATGAGGGATAGGATGATGGACAGGGAAGCTTGGCTGCTGCTTCATGTGAGCATAATGAAACTTCCCTCCATTTTTGGACCACTGGGAACTTCGAGAAATCATTAGTTTGGGAATGAGTGAATAATCTGACAGGATCAGGAGGGCAGTGGATGAGTAAGCGCGGCCCATTTGGGAGAAATGCTGCTGCGTCACCCAGCTGCAATGAGGTTGCCCTTGCCTTTCTTCCTGCAATGTGTCTTCAAGATGTCTTCAGTTATTGCTCCATCACCACTTCCTAAAAGGTGCTTTATTAAATACTGGCTATCTGCAAAAGAATATTTATCAAATAGATATAGTGTATGAATAGTAAGTAATACATCACCCACTTTAAGAAATTAGCCATGGCTAGCCATAGTTGTGTGTGCCTTTAAGTCCAGCAGAGGCAAGCAGATCTCTGGGTGTTTGAGGCGTGATCTACATAGTGAGCTCCATGCCATCCAAGGCTACTTGGATGAGACCCCATCTCAAAAATAAAATAAGATAAAAATCAACCCTTAGTATTTCCTTTAAAAGCCTATGTACCATACCCTGCTTACATCAGCTTCCTGACCTGAGCTATCTTGAATTTTTATTTAGAATTCTCTTGTTTAGTGTAATTTTACCACATGTTTCCAGTCCTTAAAGCAAATCATTTATGAATGTTCCATAAATTAAGCCATGGGTCAATTAGATTTGCTTTTTTCACCAATGAACCTTAAGGATCATCTTTATTGATATTATTGTTTATTTAATGTTCATTTTAAACCTTGTTTCTTGTTGAAATTTCCAGTTGTTGTTTATATATTGCACATGTTGCATAGCATCTCCTTGTCTGGCATGCCTCAAGCTGATGGTTTTCCACACTGTTGGAAGTGTGCATTGCATCTTTGCTGGAGTTTCGTGAGCATGTATCTAGGAATACAATTGTTGGCTATTAGGGCGTGTAGGTCTTTCATCTTTGCTATATGATGTCATTTCCCTCAGTGTATGTATAACACATTGTACTCTCCGGAAATGTGTGAGCATATCATTGCTTTATACCTTTGTTGCACTTGAGTTCTGTTAAACTTAGTCATTTCTACCAACCTGGCACTACAACCTACCACTTAAGGTTTGAATTTGCATTTCCACTTACCGATGACTAAGCTGCTTGGCCTTTGTGCTCTATCCTCTGCAAAGTGCCTGTTCATAGATTTTGCCAATTTTTCATGTGAATCAATTCTAATTCATCTGTGGGAACGAGTTTCACGGCCTCTGTGTTAACTTCCATGAGCTATAACCTCTTTGGCAAATGTCTTCTCCCAGTTTGTACTTGACCTTCCTGATGGTCTTGTCTTCAAAAACATAAGAGAGGAAACTTGTGTAGAGAGAGTTTTATGCATTAAAAAAAAAAACCCTCCGTTTGCCTCTTAAGATGTGTCCCAAAGGATGAGGTATTGAGGTCTCCCAGGTTGTTCTCTTTTTCACATCTTTGTTCTGTTGCGTCCTTCAGTGCTGTTGCTGGGAAGTGTAGGAGAAACAAGAAAGATTAATAACTAACTTAACTCAATGTCTATTCTTAACTCAAAATTTTCATTCTAATAGAGAATTGAGCCTATGCTTTTACTGAAAACAATAGCCTCCTGCCCCAGAGCACAGTGTAAATAATTTAGGCATTTTCTGTTTTTCATACAGCTTACTTTCTCATTTATATTGAAGTATGGTGAAGACAGTATAGTTATCTTTAAAATCTTAACCTTAAAAACTAAGCATCCTCCTTTGCAGTGATTTAAGAAAAAAGAAGACAGTTAGCTGAAGGTATTCTTGCATTCCCAATCCATAATCTGGTCTCCAGCTACACACAGGTTCCCAGTAATCATCAGTGCTTCTCAGGGGCCACTCTGGAACCCTCAGTGAGATGGACTACTGCAGGCAAATTCTCATTTTACTTAAGCACCTTAGTAGGCTGGTTGCCCTCTCTCAAGTGAGCCTATGCTTAGCTGTTTTTTCACTCAGTGTGGCTGCCACACGATTGTAAGAGCCTTAGGCAAGAAGCTAATACCAAAAGGAAGAAAGGAGAAGACAAAATTTTGAAGCATTTTATTTAGAAATAATTTCAACTTTCAGATAAGCTTCAAAACCAAAAACAATTTAAATACTATTCCAACAGCTTTAGCTAGTTCACCTATTTATGTGTACCCCATTGACTTCCTTTGTTCTTTCTTACCATAACTGCACACATGAATATTTGTATAGACTCATATAAGTATGTGAATATATTAATGGATAAATTCACATAGACACATATATATTTATACACACAGAGACACACTTATACACACATACATTTAAAAACATGCAGACCTGTTTTCTGTGGGTCAGTTACATACATCATAGCCTTTATTTAAATAGTTCAGTGTGACTTTTCCTAGGAGCAAAAGGGAAGCTGTAAAGTGATGTATGTTTGGAATCTTTCAATGCTGGGGCTTATTTATGGAGTTATGGAGACCCCAGCATGAAGGGAGAGGCTGGCTGTTGCCCTGATTTTTGAAGTGAGAAGGAACTGCTTAATTGCCTCTTCCTTGTATAACGTTGCCGGGGACACTTGATTTTTAAAGCACTGGAACTGATATTCAGGGGCAGGTTGCAGGGGAGGGGAATGGTCAAGACGTACAGCCAGAGGGACAGATAACCTCTACTGCCCTGCAGAGCACATCAGGGTAACTAGGGTTGATGAAAATGCATTGCATATTTCCAAGTAGGTAGGAGGAAAGATGTTGAGTGTTCCTGACATAAAGAAATGACACATTTAACATGGTGGATGAACAAGTTTTCCCAGATCTGAACATTGTGCACTATGCACATGCCTGGAAACAGGTCACTATACTCCATACATGTGCATGATTGTGTGTCAATTTAGAAATGCAGCTAAATCTAACACACTAATCAAAGAAAATAAACCCTCAAGTCATAGTCTATCAAACCCCAACGCAACATGGCTTGCAGAGGACTGTGGTGTTGTGATATATTTTTTTCTGTGTACTGTCAGGGTATGCTGGAGACAGGGACAGCCTTCTGGATGCTGTCAGGACTGTAGTGAGTCTTTGAAACCCTTAATAGTCAGTCAGTCAGTCTGCTCTGTCTCTCTGGCTTTCCCTGCAAGTGGTCTATAAACAGGCTGGTTAAAGATGTATTCTGGATGGGTTTTAAAGATGCCCAGCCTTCCTGCTGTGTGGGTCAGAGTCGTTCCCAGAGGACTGGGTCCCTTTGCCCTGCGAGGATGAGCGGCACCAGTTCGTGGTTTCTGCTGCTTCTACCAACTCTTGTCTGCATGGTTGGTGGGCGGCAAAATGTGATTGTGAGCAGCACAAAATAATGTTGCCTCTAAGAATAGGCTGATGCAGGAGCCCAGCACACAGTGCGTGGTGCTCCTTTCGACCTTTTCATTATTTGGTAATTGAACCGGCAGACATTTAATTCTTTCCTCTGGAGTCTTCATTAAATTGCTCAGAAAAGATAAAATTGCAACAAGAAAGAAAAATGTACAAATTTAACGACCACTGCTCATGCCTGTATTCTTCCTCACATACCGGGCTTCCGGGCTTTAAGTAAACAGAATATTTTCAAATTGCATGGAATTCAATATCAGCTGCAGTTACCGGTTCAGCCTGATTCTGTGAGCGTTGGTCCTCGGTAGGCGGTGATGTGAATGACTACTGGCTGGAGGGCACTATGTGTGGAGCTGAGTCAGTCTCGGAGGTGTCCATGAACTGAGGTTCACCTATACATTCTCACTCTGGATCCCATGTGACATTTCTGGGTCAGAAAAAGAGACCATCCCAATCAAGGGACAAGACAGAACTAAAGGATCCCATGGGTTTGAAAACGATTGAACCCACCCAGCTCATGCTGGCAAATAGCTCTTGTTATTTTCTTTATCTTCCCCATCTTCCTCCTTCTTTTCCTTTAGTATGAAACATGAAACCAAACCTTCCAAAACATATGGACCAAATGGAAAAGAAAAGGCATGAATCAAATTTATACACATATATAGTCAATGAAGGGGCTATTGTTTCATTTAAAATTGAACTCAGATACGCATCTTCCCTCCGTCTGAAGAACAAGTCCTTGAAGGTCCAGCGGGATGAGGACAGGGGGAATGGGCACTCCTGACAACACTACACATTGTTATCAACTGGCAGTAAAGCTCTCTGTCACTCACACAACATTCATGACCATTATTGATGCCCTCAATAATTAGACTAAAAGTGTGTAGTTCCCATGAATGCCTCATTTGGACAATTGTAAAAGAATAAGACCTGAGCTAGGTCCTCTGGATATATATACATATGGCTATGTAGCCTGGTGTTCTTGTAGCAATGGGAGTGGGGGATGTCCCTGACTCTTTTGCCTGTGCTTGGGACCCCTTTTCCCCTATTGGGTTACTTCATCCAGTCTTAATGTGTATTGGATCTTATTATATATTGTTATGCCATGTTTGGTTGATGTCCCTGGGAGGCCTGCCCTCTTCTGAAGGGAAATGGAGGAGCAGTGGATCTGGGGGAGAGAGGAGGTGGGGAACTGTGGTTGGGGTGTAATATATGAGAGAAGAATAAAAAAGAAAGAAAACCACAAAAAAGAGAAAGAAAGGAAAAGAAGAAAAAACATCAGACCATGTATTCCTGGAGCATAGAGTGGTGGTGGTGAAAGCAGGTAGGTGTAGAAGTGTTCTGGTTGGTACCCTGCCTCGACAGATCTTCCCAGTTAATCATCTTGGGAGTTTTTTGTTCAGTATGGTACCATTGGATACATGCAGCTGTTTAAGTTTAAATATAAGTGAACAATAAATATTTAGTTCCCAAGTCACTTAAGAACTTCTACTTTTCGGCAGCCACACGGAGCTAAGGGCTGTCATATTGTACAACACAGGCATGGGGACATCTTTCCAGTCTTCACAAAAGTTCTGCTAGGCTGCACGGATAGAGAGGTTGATGCCCAACTGCACCTGCCTGGCATGTAATGGCAGAGGGCGGTGGCTCTGCTCACTTGCCAGTCCTGGGTAGAGTGCACATGGCTTGGTTTTAGTGAGACAACACTTTCCAATCCCTCTTGCTATGTATATTATTTATTCTTCCTTTATTTTTGTCATCGTTACTTTTCTGTTGCTATGATAAGACACTATGACCAAGGCAACTTATAAAAGAAATTGTTTAATTAGGGGCGAATGGTTTCCAAGGGTTAGGTTCTATGATGGGCAGAACAAAGGTATGGCATCAGGAACAGCTGAGAACTTACACCTTAATTTGCAAGTTTTTGGAGGCGGGGGAGACTGGGAATGGTGGGATCTTTTGAAACCTCAAAGTCTTCCCCGAGTCACACACCTTCTCCAACAAGGCCACACCTCCTAATCCTTCCCAAACAGTTCCACCCACTGGGGACCAAATATTCAAACTTAGGAGGCCACCACAGTTTGTATGTGGGGATCTGTCATTGAGCAAACCTCCTAGGAAACAATAGTTTAGTAGGGTCAGCTTTCTACTTTCACCTGTGGAGAAGTGAAGACAGCCAGGTGGCTTGGAAACGGGAAGAATTAATCTGCAGTAAGTTCTACCAAAGGGGTCAGCCAGTCCCATTGGGAATCTTTAAGATGGGTTGGCCCTTCAGAGTTGAACCACCTAGAGGCAGGTGACTTTTTTACTATACACTTTAATTATTCTGTCCTCAGAAGTAGTGTAAGTAAGTAAATAATGTGGTGCTTTCAGAATGAGGGCAATACCTACCTAGAACGTGGCTCAGCTGACAGTAATCATCTCTCTTTATCCTCAACTGCTGGGCAATGAGTATCTCCATCCTGGTAGAAATACCTGTGTGGTCCACCACATTATGTGCTATAAGATCAAGACCCAGGGTTCCAGCTTTGGGCTAGAGAAAGGAAACTGATGTTAGATACACATGATATTAAATCAAAGGTTGGGAGTCTCCACGATGGACAAATGGATGATGCTAAAAGCTTAGCAGAAGTTACAGGATAATGCAGATCCTTTTTAATGAGCCAAAGATGTTAGAAACTGAGTTTGGTACCTGACTTGGAGTGTTCTGTGTGTTCTGTGTCTCATGAGAACATACAGCACTTAGAAGATGCACCCCTTCTTTACCCTGGCTTGTAGTACAATTGGTTGACAAAGAAGTGAAGTTCTTAACACAAGACAGTGAGTGTCAAATGCACATGCATGGTAGAGGTGGGATTCTATGCCCGTAGAGTGGAATTCCTTTGGGCTGGACTGGTTAAGGGAAAATGTAGAGAAGAAATGTGACAGGAATTGATTGCTGAAGGATCAGAATTAGTAGAGTTTTACTCTGCATCTTCTCAGATCCTACTCCCACCAAAAAGATTTTTAAATTCTCTTAGGTTCCCATAGGATTCCCCACCTTAAATATGTTGATCATCTCTTCATATATACTTTAAAAGCCAATTATTGGAAAGTCGCTTCTAATTTTTCATCCTGAATACTAAAAATGCACACCCTTTGAGATTTTCCTACATGACTTTATCCTGACTTCACCTCTCTGAGTTCAGGTTTTTCTCCAATAACTTCAGTGTCTCCAGTTGCTAGCTTCTATTTCTTACCCACTCTCCCACAGACACCAAATGCATGAGTCACAGAATTCTGTCCGGCCTGTCAACACTTCTCATTTTTGCACCGACAACAGAGTTAAAGGGTGGCAATAAGGAACCTGTTAAGGAAACAATAATAATCATTTGCATAACTGAGTTTCAGAATTTAGGAAGCTAGATTTAGGAAAGTACTGGTGCAGACGACACCATGCCCACATCACATAACCTCAGTGTTTGATCCGAAAGCTAGAATGTCACTTGAGACCAAGACTGCATGGGTTATATCCTGCACCTACACTCTCATGACCACACCACATGGAAGGGTACTGATTTCTTGTTGCTGCTATTATTAAAAAAAAATCTACAGAAACTACTTAGGGCTTAGGAAAAATATAGATGTGTTACTTTACAGTCTAGGAGTCACAAATCTAAAACAGGTCTTAAAGGACTAAAATGAAGAGCTGTATTCTTCCTAAGGGCCTCAGGGAAGGCTCCATCCTTCATCTTTAGAGGTTTGGAGAAGCATTTCCCTGGCTTCTGCTTCAGCTATCACATCTCCTTTCTTGACTCAGATTCTCTGCCTCTGTTTTCTAAGGACTCCTGTGGTCACAATGAGCTCATGTGGATTGCATAATCCAGTACATTTCCCCCCTTTTAAGATCTTTAACATGATTACATCTGAAAGCCTTCTCATTTATAGAAGCCACCATGCAGAAGTGTTCAGTGGTTAGACTGTGGACATCTTTGGAAAGCCATTATTCTGCCTTCCACAAAGTTACCTAACATTTATCTTCATCATCGTCTTCACCGGTGAAATGATAGACAATCACAGTCCACCGTAAGAATATTCTGAATTAGGTGAGAAAAATCCACATACATAGCAGCACAGTGCCTGGAATTCTCCAGCCACTTTTATCGCCCTGGTGGCCGCCATCAGTACCATTGTAGGGGTGTATGACACTGAAGCTAGGCAATGCTGAATAGGGCTTTACCTAGACAACCTTTGAAGATGCCCCAAGGGGGAAACCATCTGGAGAGTGAGCAAGAGAAGAGAGCTGGAGCAGCAGCAAGCCTGCCTCCCTGAAGCCCTAGGTCAGCCTTTGGCCTGTGTGTGTGTGTGTGTGGGGGGGGGTCCTAGATTAATTCACTGGGCTTCTGTATCAACTCGTGTTTGATTAAAAAAGCGAAGAGTCCGGAGAACAAGATCAGTTTTGAACTGAGGTCTGCCCTCCCTATTTAGGGGCACCCTAGAAAAGTTCAGGAGTGTGTCCCGATCCACAGTGGTCTTTCCTCTTCTGGTGGTCTGAATGTTTTCAAGGTTCATGTGTTGAAACTGAACTGTCACTGTGGTGATGTGACGTCAGAGACACCTTGGGAAGTGAGTGATCCTGAGGGGTGGAGGCAGGTGTGGATTCCCGTCGAAAGTCAGGGCGGAAAGACTTAAGCCCTTCCTATATGCACTTCCATTCCTCTGATGTGTGAAGACTGAGACTGTCTCTCTTGCTCTTTCTATACCTCATGCCAAGTAAGGACATCAGCCTGGTACCATCCATGAGGAACAGGCTTGTATCTGAAACTCAGTGATGGGCTTCTGTATCAGGAACTTCTTGATAGAGGTAATTTTTTACTCTTATAAACATCCCAGACTCAGGCCGTTTGTTTTAGCAGCACAGACTAAGATCACTCTGCTGCAGTATGTGTCATCTTAATGTTAAAACCTTACTTCCTGTGAGGTTTTTTCTGGTTCCTTTGCAGCCTCTGAAATCATTGATTGGCTGCAGCGCTCTCTCTCAGCTTCTCGCTTTTACCACCATCTTCTTGGAGGTTTCTCTCCATATGCTGCTGCCTTGCTGCATAAAGGCCCTATTTAAGGGCAGTTTGGTTCGGAGCATTTAAGGAGAGAAGCAGCCTTAATCTGCTACATTTTCCTAGCACAACAGCCAGCCACACATTTTAAGGGCAGTTGTGATTTAGACCCCACGTGTTCTTGGCAAGAGGAGAGAGACAGTAGGGATGCGCCATCATTTCAATTCTCTAGATGAAGACCGCACAGTACTGGGAAGCTCTCGCCAGACCTGCAACCAAAATGTGTGGGGGTGGTTGATTGCTCGCCGCTCGCAGCTTCTTCGAACGCCTCTGCCCTAGCACCGAATGCATGATTTCTCATATTTACCTCCCCAGAGTTGTGGTGGTGGCGGTGGTGGTAGTGGTGGTGGTGGTGATGGTGAGGGCACTCTGGGGTCTCACTGGGTGGGAGGGGCCAGAAAAACACCATCCATGAGTTTCATCCTGAGGCTCCTCAAGTGCGGACAAACGGCACATTGCAAGAGCAGAGTCAGCTTAGTCGGGGACAGGTTGCTTCGCTGCACAATACGAAGCAAGAAGCAATCGCTCTGAACCTGACTTTTGGAACTGATGACCCCGCCTTTGCCCTGGGCTAATGGTTTGGCCTTCATGTACCCTCGGATTGGCGGCCAATCTTCCTCTTTCATCTCCTGGAGCCCAGGAAATGATCAGTGGCCTTGCACCTGGGTTACTTTTTAATGATCTGAAAGACCACAAGGAGCCCGTGTTTCCTTTGTGCCGGTTCTCATTCAGCAACCTAATAGCTATCCGACGAGAGATTTTCTTGAAAAGAAAAAAAACGCCTGCTCCTCTCGCGCGCTCTGATTAAACCCTCACACCGCGCATATTACTGGGCCTCAGGCCTGCGTGAGGCCTGCTGACTGCTGGGGAGTCTTGGTATCTGCGCTCTGGCTTTGCTGCCAACAAGCCAGGAAACGACAGATGAGTGTACTGAATCTTCCATGTGAAGAGCAAGGAGAGTGACCAAGAAGAGGTTGAGGTCCAGGGCTTCCTGTGGCAATGCTGGAGGGGGAATCGAGTTTTTCTGTAGGTCACCCTGCTTGGACTCCAATCATGGTGAAACCAAAGCCACCTTACACCACACTGGGGTGGAGACCCTGCTGCCCATCTCCCCTGCCAAGTCACAGACAACCCCTGCTTGCAGCAACTAAAGTTAGAAGAAAGCAGAATAACTGTTCTCTCACTTCCTTAACTCCCAAAAGAAATAAAATGTTAAAAACCTCCAAATGACTGTAATGCAGAGTCTGAAAAAGGTAACCGTCATGGCTGCAGGAGAGGCAAGCATTCATGGCAGGACAGCAGTCAGACCTGCGGTAATAACACACAGGCAAGTCTGGGCTGCGTAGCACAAGCAGTGATTTAGGGCTAGCCATTCTGTCAACACATGTACATTATTTATTTGGGGAGTTTCAAGTGCATAGCTCGGTTCACACTCTCTCTTTGTTAGAAAGAGTGTCCAAAGTTAAAGCATGAGATTCTACCACATGCCCACAGATAGCCAGTATGTATGAGACTGACAGCCAGCAAGGAGGAAGGCACTGAGCCAGCGGGCCCTCCCACTGCCGGTAGAAATGGAAAATGAAATGAGAGAACTCTCGAAACACCCAGACAGCTTCTCAAAATTCAACAGAAGCTTCCCCCAAGACCCACCAACTCCACAATGTTTAGTAAGAGAAAAGGAAATATATACCCAGACAAAGATTTGTGCCTGAGATCTGGGAAACAACCCAGATAGCCCTCAGGAAATGGAAGGATATAGAGACACCAGAATGGGGAAGCCATAATAGTGAACGAACTACTTATATCCGCAACAGTACTAAGAAATCTTAGACCCACTATGCTGACAGACGAGGCCAGATGCTAAAGAACACCTACTCTAAGTGGTTTAGTTACTTCTCTGCTGCTGTGATAGAGCACAATGGCAGGGCAGCTTCTAGAAGGAAGGGATTATTTTGGCTTATGGGTTCCAGAGGGTTGGAGTCCATGATGGAGGAATGGAGGCATGGCAGCAGGAACAGGAAACTGAGAGCTCAGATCTTGAACTACAAGCCCATAGCAGAGAGAACAAACTGAACGTAAACAGGACTTGAAGCTCCCAAATCCTGCACTCAAAGACATAGTTCCTCCAGAAAGGTTGCACCTCCTAACCTTCCCAAAGAGTGCCACCAATTTGGGACCAAGTATTCAAATGTCTGAGACTATGGGGGACATTTCTCGCTCAAACCATCAAAGTATGCTTTGATGTAAAATTCTAAAACAAGCAAAACTGTTCTAGTGTGAACAAAAGAAGATGAGTGGTTTCCTGAGGCTGGGGGATGGATGGGGTCAGCTCCAAAATCACGAAGGAAAGTTAAGGGTGATGGATAGTGTCTATATCATGGCTGTGGTGTGACATGGGTGTATGAGTTAAGACACATCAAACTATATGCTTAGACTTGGGTCTCTTTCCTGTGTGCATGCCATGCCTTGCTAATATGGTTTAAAAAGAAAAAGTGAACTTCTGGTTAGCATTGTCTGAAAGAATTTGTCCAAATATATATATAAAATGAAAGAACTGAAAAGGCAGAAAAGATAATGATGAAAAAAGCAATTTTAAACCCATCTTTTGAAACTAATGACACACAAGAATGTATGTTAGTGTGCTATATGAAACACTCCTTGATGCTTACTGGTGACCTGCTTTAAAGATGGAGTGTGGTGAGGTTCATTGGACGCTTGGCAATGACAGCTGCTATGGCTAGAAACAAACCTTCTGATATATACATTCACATGGAAGAAACCCAAAATGTGTTGAGCCAAATAGATCATGGTACTCAGTTTGAAACACAGCCATCCTTAGCAACGTCCTTGAGAATCGACCGATGTGGTGCTTCTCCTAGAATAAGTCAGCAGATCTTACAGACTAAGTTGTTGCATTATCTTTTTTTTTTTTTCTTCAGAAGCAGGTTTAAATTTTTTTAAAATTCCTCTTTTGGAAGACTTTGGAACAAGCTAAAAAATTATGTTATCAAGTTTAAAATTTCTTGCAGATATGAGATTTTTTTAATATCATCTTCAGCAACAAAGTCACATAATGAAATACCCCAAAGAACCACTTTGAAAATGTTCTTTCCACGGCAAGACTTCCTTTTAAAAGATAGCTCTTCTCCCGTTCATTACTAAAAGTCATCATTATCTTAGAAGAGAAAAATTAAGTTTATTCTTTCTAAAATACCTCCCGAGTAGAATAGCTCTGACAGCTACTTGTCATCAC